GGGTCGCCAATCATCTCAAAACGTTGAAAAGTCGATATACGGGTTTTGAAAATGAACGAGAAGAAAACTCAATCATAATAGTATCTGAAAAAGCAGCTGCTGCACAATTGGTTCATAAAGGTCGTACTCGACGTCGTTTACCTGATGGGAAGCCATATGGTGGTAGTAATGGTCGTATGACTAAATCAATGGAACAAAAACTGTCCGATTATTATGGTTTAGCAATACGGCAGACAAGTCAATTAGCTAAAGGTACATTAGTCTTTTTCTATAGTTATAGGTTTAAATTTCATTGTAGATTTGGATGACGATAATGCTGTACTTCTTATGGAACGTAATTGTAAAGCTGTATTCATGCACAATATAAAACAATCTGACCGAGAAGTTCAACATTCTCTATGTCCTACGGGACTTGATTCATGGTGCTCTTATCAAAAAGATAAACATCTTTCAATAAAAGAAAGAACGGATCCTATGAAAGATGCGAAACGTCTCGATGCTGTAAGACTAATAGATTTTTCACTTAATTTCGAAAGGTGACAATAATTTGTAGGTTTTCTTGGAAATCTTATCACCTATGATTAACACATTGGCAGATCAATCATTATTACGACGATGTTTACGAGATGCGACTCAAAATGCAAACGAATCCATCAATTCTGCCCTTTGGTCCATTTTACCAAAAGCAAAATATCATGGATATCGATCAATTGGAGATGCTGCAGCAATTGCAGCAATTTTCTTCAATCGTGGGCGATCGGGTCTGATCAAATTCTTTAATCAAGTGGGTATATCTATTACTGAAGAGTTGTTGAATACTCTTCTAGGAAAAGATAGTAAACGAGTTGCAAAAGCTGAAGATAATACTCAGCGACAAGAAATCATTAAAAAGTATAAGAAACAATAACGACTTCAATCACAATTGGCTAAAGAAGAAGAGATGGACTATCGAGCCGGAATGTTCTAATTGACTCTATATTTGTCTATTGCAACATAAAAGATTTTATTTTTTCAAATAAAAAGCAAAAAGAAAAGACGATATTTCTTTCTTGAAGTTGTTGTCCTTGATACTCAATATGCTGCTCCTATTTTATACGAAACTGAGAAAAATCGAGTAACTAAGCGACACCATCTTTTCTCATAAATGCACTAAGACTAAAGCAGGAAATAAGACTCATGAATATCTGAACACAATTAGGTAAAATTTCTTAAGATTCCTTTACTTTTATTGAGCCTTTTAAAGTTATATGCTTTTTATAGGGCATATCTGATTTTCACATTGATCAAAAAAGGACTTTTATTATTTCTCAGAAGCAAATGGAAAAAAGTGATATATAGAAAAGTTGTAGCGCTTGAAATTCTCTATCGAATGGCCCATATGAAAAAGACTTTAAATGTATTATAGTCCTCAAAACATGACTGAAAGTAGTTGGATCATAAAAAAAAACG